TTCTAAAGCATTTATTAATCTTAGTTAATGTTAATTTCAACATTTACTAATATATTATCAAAATTGTATCTGTATTAGGGGTGTACGATAATATGATTTTTGATCGTGAATGATTAAAATGTCTCCACGATCTGCTTTTGAAGAAATATCGTAGTATCGTGCTACAGCAGCACATTCAATCAGTTGCAGTTCTGGTGCCTCCGTCTCAATATACTGTACAACGCGACATACATTCGCATCAAATGTTAACTCAGCAGTAGAGTTATTTTTTGTTCTAATATTGTCAAAAACACACAAGGTTTACATATAAACGCAGTTGGTTATGTCTAAAGTGAAAGTAAACACTTGAGAGAAAAACGGATGCGTGCCTGTATATTACATGCATGTAGGTCTTAAAGCGACAGTACTAAACATGATGCCGCTTGTCATTAAAGGGATAGTTCACCCAAAAATTTTAATTCTGTCATTATTTACTCACTCACGTGTTATACCAAAATTGTATTAATTTATTCCTTGTGCTGAACACAAAAGAAGATATTTTGAAGAATGTGGGTAACCAAACAGTTGCTGGTCACCATTGCCTTTGATAGGAAAAAAAAATACTATGGAAGTCACTGGGGACCAGCAACTGTTTGGTTACCCACATTCTTCAAAATAACTTTTATGTTCAACAGAAGAAAGAAACTCATTCAGGTTTAAAACAACTTGAGAGTGAGTAAATAACAGAAGTTTCATTTTTGGGTGAACTATCCCTTTAATGTTAATAAAACGACAAAACACAGAGAAAAATCACTCACTGCTCTTGACTGAAAAACTTTAATACAGTTGCTTTGATAAGAATCAGTGCTACATTCAGTTCTTCTCCAACGCCGCGGTCACTTTCGGCACAGCCATAGCTGCTTTCTACCTGCCCGTCATCATCATGATGGTGCTGTATTGGCAGATATCCCGCGCCAGCAAGAGCCGTGTCAAGAAGGACAACCGCAAGCCGTCGGGCGGCAACCACGATGTAGCCTCGTCCAATCAGATCCGTGAAAACACGGCCAACAAACCCACCAACAACAACCTAACAGCTGAAGAAACAGATCGAGGACAGACCCAGCTAACAGATGACGCCGCCAACCAACACGATGCCAAACTCCAGAACGGCAAAGCGCCATCCACAGCGAGCGGAGAAGCGGAGGCGGAGGAGGGAGGACAAGTAAACTGCCTTCCCGCGGAGGAGAAAGAAACCTCCAATGACTCCACCTCTGGCAGCGGTGCAGTAACCAATCAAAAGGATGAAGCAGCACCATCCAAAGCCAACGACAACCAGGCTCCCGCACGACACCGCGCCAAAGCTGGAGGCTCCAAACTGACGTGCATCAAGATCATCACCAAATCGCCAAAGGGTGACTGTTACGCACCTTCAAATGCAACGGTGGAGATCGTCCCAGCAACTGAGAGGCAGAACCACGTGGCGAGGAAGATCGTGAAAATGACCAAGCAGCCACCCAAGAAGAAAAAAGCACCGCCCTCTCGGGAAAAGAAGGTGACGCGCACCATCATGGCCATCCTGGTGGCGTTCGTGGCTACTTGGACGCCCTACAACGTGATGGTCCTCATCAACACCTTCTGCTCCAGCTGCATTCCCAACACCGTGTGGACCATCGGATACTGGCTCTGCTACATCAACAGCACGATCAACCCCGCTTGCTACGCCCTCTGCAACATCACCTTCAAAAAGACCTTCAAACACCTGCTGCTCTGCCAGTACAAGAACATACGCTCGGCCCGATGAGCAGCAACAAAAAGTGTATGCATGCGTTATATTTTACATGTGTGTTCTGGTGACAAAGGTATATGTGTGGATGTGTTTGTATGTGTGGAAAGATGCAGTAAAACAGCAATTATAAAATGAAGATTGACCCATCAACACCCATCATATACAAAGTTTTAAGAATCCTCCATCCTTGTAGTTTGGCGAATTTGACACTGTCAGCTACAAGTATTTGTACACATTTCACCATGTTTAAAATCACAGATTTCCCCTAAAAATTTCGCAGATGTGTGCGTCTGGGCAGATGTGTGATTGCATTTGTTGTTTTTTATATAGAGAGATAATCTGTTGTAGATAATCTTTACATACGCATAGAGGTGATGCATGTCACAAAAGAAGTGCTTAAATATTTGATTTACAAACAAAAAAGTAAAAAAAACAAAAAAACAATACGAGCAAATAGATGGTGAGATTGGAGTCTGTACTATTCAATAATACACAAATAAGGGGACAACAGGGCTGACTGAAGATCCAAACCAAACGTGTTTGAGCTTCAGTATAAAATCACACCTGTATATACGTGTATATAATCATGTACTGTATCTGTGTCGTGTGTGTGGCTGCATGCTGGATGACGGTGCGTATGTAAGTTTGTAGCTAAAGTCAACATGAAACCTGTGTACTTCTGTAACCAGAGTGAAATTCATATCTTGATTTTATTTAGATTGCAAAGACAGTTTTAATAATGTGCACCAATGAATCGTGCCAAATAAAACCAGTAACATGCATTAAGGAAGTAAAGAGGCTCATGTTGACTTTAAAGCTTCAATAAATGCAAGCATCTACAATGACAGTACGACAGGTTGCTGGTTGCAGGGTTTGTGTGTATTTGTCGTGTGTGTGTGTGTGTGTGCTCTCCGAGAGCAATAAGAGGGTTGAAGAGGCCCTCCGATGTGCCCGTATGTTAAAGTGGATGGGTTTTGAGTGCTCGGGGTCTCCAGGGATGCAAATCTAAACCTTTTAAAGTGAACAGACGCGCAGGATGAAGAGGCTCTCACAGGCACGCAGCCATTAGCATCCACCTCACCTCTGCTTTGCATTTACACAAAACAGTTCACTCACGCTCGGGCGAAAAAAGGAAAACACCAGCTACGTGAGCACTAATTCAGCAGATACTCCAAAACCGGCTTGTGAATCTGAAAAAAAAAACAGAAAAAGATTAAAAGGCCAAAACGCTTGCTTTCCGCCTCATTGTAAATGACATGCCTGACACATGCACGTTCATGCAAAAGTGGCGCCTGTAGACATGCAGCGTCCCGATGACCTGATCTGCCCTCTAGGCTCATGATCCACCTGCAGGCAACATGTTTGAAAGCGCGCGCATGTGTGTGTGTGTGTGTGTGATCACCTCGTCAGGAGGGTTAATATAACTCACAGGTTCTTGCCTTGTGAATTTAAAAGGGCTAAAGTACATAAGCTTCCTCATCTCATTACCAGACGCCAAGTCAACATTAGTTGTTTTTGATTCATTAAAACAGATTAACAGAATCCCCGCTCAGAGCAGAGGATCATGGGAAATGTCAGTCAATCGATGACAGAGCAGCAGCTCATAACTTTGACAGTGATGCATGCTGGGGGAATAGAGCTCGTGTGCGATAGATGAGCTCAATCTCAGTGCTTCTGCATCAGAAACTGTAGCGACAATGTTAATACATGTACCGCGGTAATGAAGTTTGATTAAAAATACCACAGTTACTGTTGTAAAATCATAGTAAAGTAACATGAATCTCACTCAAACTGCTCTAGAAGATCTCATTTGGCATTTTTCATTTGGGAATCATGATTGTATCTATGGGATATTGGAAAACTCTGGTTACCATGGTACATTTTTGCAGGAGGTCGCAGAGATTTACACTGCAATGACCATTAATCATCTGATTCACACATTCATTCTCATCCCATCTATTATGTCCATATTAAAGTACGACAATAATCCGTTTCCAAATAATGCACACGTTTACTTTTAGCACAATCTCTCCTTCTTGACATTACTTTCATATATACAGATTTATCCATGCATAGACATGACAGAATCATGCATAATGATGTTTAGTTGTTCTTCTGCAGATTATAATATCACTGATTATTGTAGGATGACATACATCGTCTGATTTTGTGTCTTGGCTACTGTAGTTTGTTTCTTGGCACTGACAAGATTGTAAAATACAGAGAAATTATACTTCAAGTAAACTGTTTATTCAACTTAAACTATTCAGCCTAAAAAAAAAAAAGCATCCGCATTTGATAATTTTATAGTTGTTTGACATTTGAATGCAGTCATTTACAGACTGTTTGTCAGACACGTTCACACTTAGTAAACATTTTGCTTGAGAAGATTTGCTTGCTGACTGATGAGACGATTTTAAATGGTTTTAAAGTCACCATGAAATCAAAATTTACACTATGGAATATTGACATAATTGAAATTATGGAATATTGCAGCAGGGTTATTATCATGAACTAAAACCATTAAAAAATAATTTCTGTTACTTGAAACAAAAATAAACATTAACTGAAATAAAATGCTTATTTCATTTCAGCTAGTTGCCTTAGCAGCATTTCTCATCTCCAGTTAGTTTAACTTGGTGTACTACAATGACTAAAACTAAATGAACTAATAAATAAAAATGAATACAAACTATAGACATTTAAAATAAAAACTAATAAAAATTACAAAAACACAAAATTACAAGTTAAAAAATCTGATTCAAAATATTAACAAAAACTATAATAGTCAATGATCAATGATACTAAAAGTTTATTATAAATGATTTCTAATTATTTTTTGATTCATGTGCCTATGTAATCTTTCATTAAAAAATATAAGTCCCGCCCTACAATTTTTCTTAATCAAAAATCCATTTGACGTTGGATATATGTCAAAGACAATTGTAACGTGCGTTTTGTGCTGACTTTAACAAAAATTAAGTAAATTTCACAGGATAGCAATCTGAATGGCTTGTTAGCACAGTAAGATGGACAAAAATATGTAATGCATATATGTGCATAAGTACATATTTCACAGGTCATCGTGATAATCAGAATATATCTAGGGAAACTTTTAAATCATGATGACCTGTAAAATATGGACTTTGTATTTTGAAAGTCTAAACAAAATGGTAAAAAAAAGTACGATTTTGCTTTGAAAATGTAATTGACTTAATTACAAATTCCCAAAATAATACAGTATGCACTACGTATATTGAAGTACACTGTAAAAAAAAAAATCTGTGACATTTACGGTAAAATACCGGCAGCTGTGGTTGCCAGAACTTCACCGTAAAAAATATGGTAGCAACATTTTAGGTTTTACAGACTTAACTTAAATTCACAATAAAATACCGTATTTCATTAACTGATGTAATATTAATAAACCAACATATTGAAGTACTAATATCTGTTTTGAACCATTGTAATACACTGATAACCACCAAAAACAGGTGGTGATGAGAAAGTCAAATGATGACTCAAAGCCCATCACAAACAGCTCTTC